AATCCAATCAAGTGGTGGCTCTTCGTCTTCCGGAAAGGAGATTCCAATAAAATCATTCCATACTTTCAAAATGTTTAAGATGTCGAACAGAGCTTTTGGGGGCAGATGGGATAGTGCCAAGCAGGGCCACCGCTAGTGTAGCCCCTATATCAAATTAGCGAACAATACCGGACTAGGCCTAAACTAATTGAGCTATCCGGCAGCTGGAAAAATAAGTGTACGATAGTGATTTTCTGGGTTAGGGTGTTTTTTAGATGAAGATGGGACAAATCTATTTCAAGGGCCACTTTTAACATATTGACTTTTTTAGAGGCTCGAAATGATCTGTACATCACCTCGCAAGCGCTTAATCTTTCGGAGCAAATCTGACAACGTAATCAGAACTTCTTTTGGAGCTACGCTTGGCCTAAACTGATGAAATAGATAAATAGTCCTCTCCAAAAGTTTCGCAAAGCTCAAGGATATCACTATTGTAAACTGCTCTGCCAAAATTACAACAGAAAAGAACTTGAAATCTTATATTTACGGACTGGCACCTACGACTTCTCGTATGGACCCAATACAATATTCAGGCGCAGCTACGATTCTGAATGGGCGAATACTGTAAGGAGGGGCTGATCAGCAGCTGTTAACTTAGCGTTACATACCGACTTATCCATGACCAGTGTAGATTCTAAACCTCCATGTAGGTCGTCTGTAAAATCGGGTCAGGACATCGAATACATTTTTCTCGTCTCACTCATTTGGTTTTTCGTCACGAAATTATATGGGGATCACTCCTTGGAAAATCTCAAAAAAAAAAACATAATTGTAAATTTCAATCCTCAAGACATCACCTTTCCATACAGTTCTTTACCATACGTAATATCAGATTTTATTACTGAATTGTTTTTTGAAGAGGTGTTTACGAGGTTTGGGTATAAGCTTTACTAGGCTGACCTTTCGGCAGAATCGCCTTGTTGAAAGCCTGAAAGAATCGTGGCATTTTGTGAATATTTGAACAAAGATGCCCATAGCCTATTGTTACGATCCTTTCAGGCTCTAGAGAAGGCGATTCCCCCGAAACGTCAGTTTACTCGATATTACAGCAGTTATGCCGAGTTTCATAGGAAGTCATTAAAATCGGATTTTATGTTTTGAATAGCTAGTGAAAGAAGAAGGAAAATAATAGAACTTCTCGTCATAGTCGCAATATTCAGTTGATTTTTTCCAGGTATGCGAATCGGAGCCGAATCCGCGTGACTGTTCTCAACAGAAAACCGGAAGCAAAGAACGGGTGTACGCTGGCTTTAAATGAAGTTTTCGTCGGAGAAGATGAAGCTGCAAAGGTAATTCTAATTCTTGATGTTCCTGAATTTCATGATCCTTATTGCTCTTCTGCACCTTCCCTTACTGACTTGGATTTAGGAACCATTTGAAGTCCAGACCTTTCTTTTCACATGTTTCCTTTTTTACCAACTGCAGTCCTTTCGCTTAGTTCGGTTGATTACTTAGCGTTACCCTTCGATATTGAGTCGAAAACAGAGCTTCGAAGAACATGGTTTGAGGCCAGATGTCCTGTTCTTCTGTCTGCTGGTAGTTCAGCTTGTACTGATAGTTAAGGTTTAATGGTCCCTTAGGTCTCTTGACATAGTTCTGGGTGAATCTGCACTATTCTGTCTTGTTTGTTTTATAGTGATCTTTGTAATGGTGCACCATCAGAGCCCAATAAATAAATAACCCCATAAGTTGTATGTTTCTCGGCTTTTAAAATAGTAATGGAGCCCCTTTGAAGGTCTCAACGTATGCAATTTCAATTGATGATCAACCGATGGTAAAACAAAAAAGTAGCGGACTTATCGTTTCTACTGGAACTGGTAGTACAAGTTGGTGAGCAATCGATTACATTTATGAACTTTATATCAGATTTGGCATATTTGTTCTCTCACTTTGTCTACGTCATCACTTTCCCAAATTGGTAATCTAGAAATCTTCCTTTTCACTTTTATGCCACTCCGGTTTATCTGTTCCTGAAAATGAAGATTTTCCTCTGAAAATATTGCAGCTTTAGAGTTGAAAAAATCCGATTGTCAGATTCCCTTCATCCAGGTACTATGGGATGAATCGCGTTGAAGATCAGGGTGTGGCAGCAATCTTGGAAGCGGCACAGGGTATGGGTGTGGAAATCAAAGCAAACATGCGAGAATTGGCCGGCGAAATCGCGAAAAAACTCAACGACAAAATCGCCTTTGAGCCCAATCATCCAAGTGAGCTGAACGTTTTTTTTTTCATAAAAGAAATCGTTACTGGAAATAATCCCATGCTTGCCATCTGAAGAGCTTCTTCTGCCTTTATTATAACTACCCTTNATTAGATTTTCCATCTAAAAAAGATAACATGACAAAAGGTCTATTGTTCCGTGATTACGTAGTTGTTATCTGGCAAACACTTGGTGAAGAGGTAGCTTCCGTTCAAAGGGGCTAATCCGGATAGTTATTTCTTTCTTGAAAACATAACCTTTTAATGAAATTCCTTTCAAACAATCGGAGCTGCATTATACACAATTCTTGTCATACAAGCGAATCAGGGACGTAATCATAAATTGCAGATCCTCCCCTTTCCCTCACTTTGAGCCCCTCATTACGAGCACCCTACAGGGGTTAGTTCGGACACCCCGGACCCCAGGTCGTTGGTTTGGGCGTGGTCACCTCGAAAATAAATTGCTTACCAGAGAAGCATGTTTTTTTTTGTGATAGTGTTAAATAGGATTGAATCATCACAAGTCTCCTTTCTTCGAATTCATTACGATTACACGGGTATACCGGCACGATAGAATGAATGGACCCTCATTTGCACTACATATAAGGGAAGGAATAACAGCACTATACGAGCCAGTAGAAGACATGTAAACAATAATGTAAACAATGAACACGATCGGTTTGCTCGTTTTTTTTCAATCATTTCACATAATAAGTGCTACGTTGGTACCCTTCNGGAACGGATCCCCGTCGCAACAGCGGTGGTCGGGATTTGTTGTGATGTTCTCCTGAGACGCAGCCTACCCTTTTTTTGAAAGGTTTAGAGCGAAGACGGAATTATTCGACCAAATTGGTTACCGTTTTCTCCGTAATAAATGAAACTCTTATTAATTCATTTCAGATTTCGCCTTCTCAATTCGTGAGCCGATATTCAACGCCACATTCAAGCGCACCCCTGTACGTGGTTTCGCTCGCCGTATTCGCCTGAAATCAAAGTGCTCCAAAGGCTTTTTGGTGCTCGACGGTGCCACAAAAATCCCTTTTAATAGTGGTACTGAAGTACTGCTTGAGATCAACGAAGCTGATTCCCTTCGAACAATCACTTTGTAGCGGTGAATCTAGTGTCCAACCTACAGTCCAAACTAGTATCATTCACGATTCCTTGTCCATCTTAAGATGGCTGCTGATTTCGATCATTCCAGGGGGAGAACCTCTACCGCGTTCTCCATACGTTGGGCATAATATCCTCGATTATTAGATATTTCTTGTTCAACTGATTCTATCTCTATTGCTGATGATTAGAGATTTCTTCTATAAGTTATTCGAATTATATTATGTTCTCTTGAACTCGTATGCACGATATTAGTCAGGTTATTTTCTTTTATGGCATTGTATACCATATAAAAGCCTCGCTATTAATATTCACTTTTTATTAATCACTTGTCCTGTCTGGTATTCTATACATTCGCTTCGATGTTCACTTTTCTATGACGTCGGGTTAGATATTACTTATTACACAAATTGGTCTATTTTTGATTATAAAAATGTAATAAATATGTATATATGTATACACATGTTCACATTATTGTATTGTTTATTAATATACACATACAGATACAATGCTTTCGTTTGAAGTGTAAAGTTTGACCAGTTATGAGATCGTCGGTACAGGGTAATATTGGGTGGCACAACGGGAGGGGGGCGGTTGAATCGGATTGTGTAATCGATTCGCCGTACGCGGCAACCGCGGACCAGTTGCCTCAGTATTGCGACTGTAGCGTTCTTCATACAGCTCGATCAATATACGACTATTATTTTTGTATATTTCTACCGATACTTCTTTTGTTCGTTTGTTCCTTACTCGCTGCGCCACTTCCGCTTCATTCTACTACATTCGTTTGGGCGCGACGTCGCCCTGGCCGCGGAGCGACCATTTCGATTCGACTAAATAAACACTCAGTTAAGCTTGCGAATTTGATAAATAAAGTGAGTTCAGGTAAGGTTAGGGAAACCCAAGGGATTGCCATTTACTGTGCCCATATAACAATAAGCATATCAATGGTTGTGAACGGAAATAGTTGAATTACGAAGGCCTAGACGCTGTGTAACGCTCGTTTCCGGAATACGCCCCGGATTCGACCTCCACTCAGAATCGTACAGCAACTAACGAAGGCCAGTCAATGTACGATAAGTTCTTTCAACCTCTCAGACAAGTCTGGTATCACTAAATGGGCTCTAGAGGGATAGAAGGCTTGGTTGGTCAGGGCGGATATCGATTCGCTATCCGAATCTGAGCCATGTGTATCATCTTTATTGGCCAAATACTATCTGAAAAAAAATGGTGGAATGCAATGAGATTCTCTCTCCCTCGAGCGCTTTGGAAGCCAGTTCTTTTCAAAATCGTTATTTTAAAGATCTTGCAATGATCAAGTGGGAAATCACGGGTTATTTCACGTCTCAAAGAACATTCTATGAAAGCTAGCGACGCTGAAATCAGTATAAAGTGGAAAATTAGGATCACTGTCTACAGTGCATTCCTTATTGCCCTCCGACTTCATGATAACGATCAATTACAACCCTCCCTTTTCCGCACCACTGATACATCCTCCGTAGAAATAATTCATTCATTTCTAGACCATATTCTTATACGAGAATGCTTTCCGTGGTCTCTTCCAGCGCAGGCGTGCCTTTTTAGTAGCCCTGTGCGCAAAACCTGTTCATTAAGGAATGTGATTTAANTAGGATCACTGTCTACAGTGCATTCCTTATTGCCCTCCGACTTCATGATAACGATCAAATACAACCCTCCCTTTTCCGCGCCACTGATACATCCTCCGTAGAACTAATTCATTCATTTCTAGACCATATTCTTATACGAGAATGCTTTTTGTGGTCTCTTCCAGCGCAGGCGTGCCTTTTTAGTAGCCCTGTGCGCAAAACCTGTTCATTAAGGAATGTGATTTAATGCAAATAAAAGTGGACAGGCGAACAACGTGATGCTGTGGTGAGAAGCTGAGAAATGTGGCGGGGCTGGAACGCTATTGTATGCCAACTCATTTCGAGGGGACAAGAGAAAAGTTACAAAAAAATTACAAGAACTACAAAAACATGACAAATTAGAGAAGGTGAACACGTGAGTAGCTTTTTCCCCCAAACAGGATGAAGTGAAAAAGATCAGACCCCAAGCACCTTGCCCTAATCAAAACAATTTACTGAGGACTTCAATGGGCGTGCAGTGATCCATCACTCTGATTCGAGGATGTAAGGCATCTATTGTTTGATTTCAGAAATAGTACTGCCCGAATCGAGCTCCTCGTTTGTTATCTCTTATTTTGGGAGAAGGGCGGAGGTGGTGCAGAGGCAATTAGTACATTGCTTTGCACGTATTGTCACGGGTTCGTGGATATCCACCTCTACGAAGCAAGCCTTACATCCCTCTGTTGTCAGTCAGTTAGTACAAGACTCTTTTTGGAGGTAATGTACTGACTTGTACATCGGCTGATCATGGCAATTCATTATCAGGCAATTCTGAGTGTAATAAGAAGGTGGTGTGAAAAAGAGATAAGTGTGATTCGGATAGTTTGTGATTGAATTTTTCGAGTGATACGTATTTAACAATACGATGCCGTTACAGTAGATATTTTCTACCTCATTTGGAGACAAAGTCCATTGTTACTGGATGTTTCCGACGAATGGGTTGACAATTTGATCCGTAGAAAAAGAAATAAATAACTGCCAAGCGTTTTCTCAAGTGAACAGTGCTTAACCGGAACTTAATTGAAACACGTGGAAATTTCTTCGTCCTGATAATGGAATCCCTGCTGTACTACGGAGAATTTGGCACCACACTTTCTGCCTATTGTCTTTCTGTCGCTAATCTTTTGTCTTAATAAGAGTGAGCTCTCTCTCTTCTCAGAGGCACAGTTCATAATGAAAATGGTTGCTAAAAATTTTCCTTGAGCGTAGTTGCTAATATTTTTCCTTGAGAAAAATTTGTGAAACCCTAGTACGTAATATGGAGCGCAGGAAAATTTGACAGTTGTATCCACCGTATGGGGTGCGCCTCGTTGCGCGTGTCCGTCGAAACTAGGTCACGCCGCAGCCGTCGCATGCGGCGGGTCAGCCCGAGATACTTGACAGACGTCGCAGCTGTAAGCGGGGCATACGATTTGTGCTTTCTCCACGGTAGTCAGCCAAAGAGAAGATAACATAGAAAAATGCAAATCGTTCGCTCCACTCACACTTGGTGGTACTGTCATGTCATCTCGGGACCTCAGTGGAGTGCGCCGCGAAGTGGGCGGGGTGACCTACTTTCGACGGACACGCGCAACGGACGTTCGCCCCACCGTATGCCATACGCAGAGGTGTAACAAGACCGTGCAGAGGGCGCTTCACTAACACTGGAGCAGATATGGTGTAAGCTGATGTGATCATAGTGAATATCGGGGGGCGCACGATTCACGCGTCAGTACCTCTCTGTTGAGATGAACAAAATAGGATTTGCAGTAGTCCACGGCTTCACCATGAATTAGAGCGATTCT